ATGCATACGTAAAGCTACTTTTATAGTGATATAAAAATGTAATAGGAAATAGAAAAAGGGAAGTGACGTCACAATGCATTAATGACCAGTCAATCTATAACATTCCTCCCCCCTAAAGAGGGTATATACTTCTAATATACACAAACAAAGCAACATTCATGCACTACAATACACACATACATACATGAGTACTCACACAGTCACACAATAATTAGTTCTTTCCAGGTTCGAACCCATCTCGAGTCTTGCGTTGACGAAGAGGATATCGACGGGTATTCGTATCGATCGGAGGCGTTCGATTTCGACTGTTCGTTCGTGCTGACTCTGAGGACACAGGCTGTTCTGGTCCTTGTTCTGGATGAGAGTGGAGCCACTAGTGACAGTAACTGGAGTAGTAGTTATAGGCGGAGCTTCTCCCTCGGCATCCACTGACACCTCAGACATCTCTGGAGGACCATCGTCGACGACCAGGTCGCAACTGATCCTGATGACAGCGTCTGTTACGGCCATCTTCCAGAACAACACGAAAAGAGACTGGACCAGTAGTACTACTCAACAATCTTGGCCGGTAGCACCACAGATCCAGTACCATATGCATATTTCTCACAAAAACGGTATCACCAATGCGAAAAGTTCGAGTCTGTTCACGACCGTCGTGTCTGAACTTCTGTTGGTGTTGTCTGCGCTCGACTCAGTCAGAGTATTTGGTATGAGTGGGTCCAGACATGTACGTGGACGTCTTCCCAACAACAGCTCTGCTGGAGCTCCGCTTGGCCTGGCTGTGGTACTCTGCGAAGTAATTCGGTAAGTGAACAACACTTTAGCCAGTCGAGTGTGCATTGTACCTTCAGTAACTTTCTTCAAACCTCTCTTGATGATCTGAATGGCACATTCTGCTAAGCCATTAGAAGCCGGGTGAAGGGGGCTGACGTAGTATGTCTGACCCCATTCTTGTGAAGGAACTGCTTGAACTCACTACTAACAAAGCAGGTTCCATTGTCAAAACAATCATCTCCGGCAACACGAATCTGGCAAACAGTGTCCGCAACACGTGAATGACACAGCTTGATGACATGGACGGAGTACGCACGGCCTCTATCCACTTGGAGTGGGCGTCAATTGCAACGAGTATGTTATTTCCCTGAAAGAGACCAGCAAAGTCAAGGTGCAACCGAGCCCAAGGCCTAGTAGGCCACCTCCAGGGGTGTAGAGGAGTGGGTGGTGGTGATGACTGAACTTGTTGACACTCCCGACAGAGCCTGACAAACTTTTCGATATCTGCCGTGATACCGGGCCACCACACATACATCCTGGCGAGTGCCTTCATACGAGAGATGCCTGGATGGCCCTCGTGCAATTCTTGAAGCACAGCCTCTCTTCCCTGGGGTGGAATTACAACACTTGTCCCCCATAGTACACACCCCTCGTAACTGGAGGGCTCAAGGAGCGGGAAGAGTAGGGTTAAAGTTCAGGGTCACCCTCAGTGCATTAATGACCAGTCAATCTATAACAGCGATTTCTTAGGTACATGCTCTTTTTGACCACACGGATCAGACTTGTATGTCAGAAGTGACATCTGATTGAAACTGAAAGTGAAACGTACATATCTCAAATGTATGGGCATAATGCATGGGCATAAGGCAGGATGACCTGTGTCATCCCTATATATTACTACTGTACTTAGTGATTATGTCTTAAGATAAAGTATTTATCACCATTAACTCAGACTAATTACTTTAATCCTTTCAAGCTATTAGTAAACTTTCTAGTATAATTCAGGTATACAGCATAGAGAAAGTTCAGTCCTAGCTAGAGCACTTAGGTAAACCTGCCTCTCGGCCCGTGTATTAGAGCGTCGGTAGACGCTCTATATATGGATGGCACGGGTGATATCTCACGTGATCCGCTTACAAAACGACTAAAAACTCGGTGAGAATAACTCCCTAGGCCTTCAAAACACACTAGCAATAGTCTACGGGCCCATATCTACCTATACATGTTCCCAAAGATCTCATACGCACCTTCAGTCGTCCACGCGAGAATTTGCTCATACTCGATTTCACGATTTTCATGTCATCATCTTACCAGTACCAGTTGAAGCGCTGATTTTTTTCACTGAACGTCTCCAAATTCGCCGGAGGTGTGCACAGACATCAAGCGATCGTTTCTTTCTTGCCGCAAGTCACTTACGGTGGATCATGGAGCTCTTCCATGGTCGACACTGTACAACGCCATTTGCTGCTAACCCAACATCAGTGAGCCGCGCACATGCGCAGGCAGGGGCATTGTCCAATGCGCTGTGCACGCGCATATTAGCTACCGGGCGAGTTGACAGACCCGGAGAGGAACTCTCAGCCTCCAGTGCATTCTGTAAGTAAGTGTGCGCATTTCCAAATGACTAGCTTCCTGTTGATTTGCATGAGGAGCAACTTGGCAGTGTCTGCGCTGTGTTAGCAGGGTGCTGAAAAGAAATGGGCCTTCATTCTTTGTCCTGCGACGTTGTAGCCTGATTACCAAAGCCTGCCATGAAACTGAAATCCACACACGTTGAACGCCCTCGGGTCCCCTTACACACTGTGTTTACTACTCTCACAATGCAACCACACGGCATGGCTTGCGTGTAGCACTTTTGCTCTATTTGGCCGTGCGATGCATCACTCTCTATACGGTCGAAACACATTATAGATATGAAGAAGAAGAGAAGAGAAGAGGACACACTCCCTATCATAGCCCACTACATCTATGATGCACCGTTTTAATAATACCGAACATAAGATGATTGCGATGGTGTCATGTAACTTTGTGCATCCCGTGTTTGCTGTCTACTGACCCTTGTTTCTTCCTTTTGATGCTCAGCATCCCTATATTCCCTTCATTTTTGAGCTATGATTGTCACTGTGTTCTAAAGGCACCGCTCAGCAGTTAACCTTCTTTGGGCTCCTTTCTAGTGCAGAATCCTGCTATTGAGTATGTGTTACCTAGTACACACTCACATTAATAAAATCTCTTCCTTACGTATTGAGTGTAAGGCTTTATATTAATTTAGACTTATTTTCTGCTTTAATTGACAGAGGCTTATTCATGATGAGGTGGAAGAACTGATGATTTGCAAGCTATCTAGTATACCATCACAACAGCATATGTTGGGTCTTCTACATACTTTTATTAACTCACACCTGGCTAAGGTTCTTGTGCTTGTAATCAATGTTCAAGAAGTTAAGAAAGAGGTAGTAAACCACATCCGTACTATGATAGACGAAGAGGAAGTTGCATCCGTTGAAAACAGTGGAAGACCAAAACTATTTGTTCTTCTGCTTCATTACCCACCATCCAGCTTTGGAAGAGAATGTTATCCATCGTTATTTCTGAAGGGCTGGGACCACTACTATCTTGATACTATAGGCCACGAAAGGATGGGCAGTCTTGATATTCGGAAGTGGCTTAAGGATTGCTACTTTCCCCAGGATGCATGTTCCCCTTCCAGTACACATTTTATTCTTACCACTCTTAATGACACTCTGGAGGAAACTATTCCAATTTTAATATCACGGGTACATTTTGGGTGTGTCCAGGAAGGTGTGTTTAACAACAAAATGAATGTATCAAAGCGTACAAAGCTCTTGAGAGAACTCTTTTTTCAGATGGGTTTAGGTAATACTCTCTGTGAGGTTTTCAGTTCCTACTGGAAGCCAAATGTAATGTCCAAATACCTTAAAGACGCTGCAATTGTTGCGAAGACACAAGATTCAACACTTAATATAACAGACTCTATCCATACCACTTTTAAGAATTTGTTCTTCGATTTTCTGGTATACATGGTCACTCGAATTAATATAAATGGCAATATCGATGTGCTTTTTCAGAAAGGTTTTTCGGAAACTCAAGTGATTTTCCCCAGGCTTCAAGAGCTCTTCCTGGAGATTGTAAAATTACTTCCAATCCCACAGCTGTCAGATTTAAAAAGGCATAGTTTTCATTTCCAGGTCGGAAAGAAAGACAGCTACCTTCCCCATTTTCCTTTCTTTAAGCAAGTTTCTAAGGAGATGAAAAAAGTGGTGGAGGACAGCCAAGTGAAGGTCAACACTAACCGTTTTGGGGATTTAGAAACTGACAGCGCGTCATCTTGCAATGCTGACCAGCAGCTCTACTTTGATGAGCTTCAAAAGGTTGTTTTACAAGAAATCCAGGAATTGATATCTAAAGTAAGACATTTAAACATGCTCTTTGTCACTTTATCATTCATTATCTTCTCCTTTTTCCACAGAAAGAATACAGAGGTTTTCTTGGCCCGTCACTGAAGGCCCTGAAGGAGATCCCCGAACTATGGAAATATTACTTTAAAGATTTTACTGTGCAAAATTTGCACTTAGAAACCTCTGATGGAATAAGCGAGAAAATGCTGGATATAATTTTTCTTCAGTACCACAAGGACATGACAGTTCTAAAAAAGTTTGTACACCTCCATGTATTCATGACTCTATACCATCCTGAACTGGCCAGAACAACTACAATCCTGCGGTCTCTGGATCGGATTCAACGAATTTCCATGTCAGTCCACTACATCCATACTCCATCCCCTACAGACACATTCATGGCTGCAGTCCAAGAAAGACATGGCCAGGAAACTCCTCAAGATCTCTCAAAATTTGTAATTGACCACTTTTTCAATATCCTTGCTGCTGCTGCAGCATGCATGCCCTCAAGCTCCCAGGAGCAAGTTGACGAAAACAACATGTTGCTGTGGTATGAGGGATACAGGTACGTATACCTAGTTCGTGTTATGTGATTGATGCAGTTATTATACTAATCCATTTCTAGAGATCTGATGTGTCTTCCTGACCTGAAGAAGTGTTTGTACAGTGTGTTTGACCAGAGTAAACACTCAACTATGGTTGTAGTGGAGGCGAGGTTTAACGTGATGCATACTGTTTTCCTTATGATACAGTCTGGTTTTTCTCATCCTGAGCAATCACGGTCTTCCCTCATTTGTCCTCAAAAAGTATTTCACAGACTCTTTAATGATTATTTCATGAGTAGCATGGAGGTGAGCACCATAATACCGTTAGTGGTTTGTAATAATACATATCTATGTTACAGTTAAAGGCTGGTTGTCCTAGACTTGGGAATGTGGCTATAGTGGTAAAGAATCTATCACCACAGTCTGAGGGGAACATACCAAGGTTGGCCATGTAATTCCTGAATAGAGGTATTTGCATGGCAGCTGTGCTTAAAAAACGTCATTCATTAATGAAGAAAGGCGAACATTTTTTAAAGCCTCATCGCCTTACGGTTACCCAGATGCAATCAGAGATGTAATTGTTGAACACTAAGAATGCCCATTAAAACCATAACTTTACTTAGCTCCAAACATCTAATTGCTTAATGATGCCAAAAACGGTTTCAGGTATTGATCTGTGAGTTTTCTGCATGGCCGTATTTTTAAAACTCTACCAATGTCTTGTACAGCGAAATATGACCTTGCTACTCAATCCCTCTTCAAACCTCACACCCTCCCTCTGATCAATACTATTCGCAAGAAACATGGTACTCCCTTCAAATTTAGTTAGTCTGTTGAAAAAAAGATCATTGCTCAAGGACTTCCTCTGTCTACCTATCCTGATAACTAATAACTTTCTTCCTACCGCTAGCTAGCACATTTATAAATCCCAGGCACCTCTACTACAATTCCTATGTAAGTGAGCTTTGACACTCCATGAAGGTCATGATCCCTCCATAAATACCTGCCTTAAGCTATGCAGTTTTAGAGAAGACTCCACATGTCACAGCTATTATGTACACACATGCTCTTGGTTTCTAAAGCATGCCTAGTTTCCTTGCCATTGTTGCTTGTATGAAATTATAGTGCATAGCATACCAGCATAGGGAGATTTATAGAGATAGATAGATAGAAAAATAAATGAAAACCACCGCCACCATATATACAGACCCCAAAATATCCATACAAAACACACATACACAAATACACATGACATAACATGAGAGCAGGACACTGGGTGCCCAGCCTTGAGAACTGGGGCGGTGGGTAGTCTTTTATGGCTAGCCAACTCTCCCCACACACCCAGTTTCCAAACTCCACATCACAAACAATGACAGCCACACACTGAGGAACTGCACGACAGCACAGCCATGACAACACATGTACAGCATATGTTAGGCTCATGTTGACCCGTTTTTGCGGTAGTTACCTGACGTGGAGCTGTACTGTAGAGCAACAAAGATGCTTCTTGAGTATATACCAATGCATTAAATGAAGCATTCTTACTTATAACTGTGCCACTAGCAGGGTTATCAGAAGGTGCATTTGCACATGGAACACGGTTTTTAGACACTGACTTGCACAAGCACACTGTAGCAAGGTACGTTGATACAGTCAGTAAGTAGGTCCCTTCACTCTCCCTCAAAAGACACTTGTCATAAAAACCCCTGAGCATGCTTGTGATAAAGACCGATCGTTCCTTAAGTGCACATTGTCTGTTTTCATTTAGATACAACTTCTGATGGAGGGTCTCTTTTCCCACTTTTTCTCGGTTTATCGACCAAAATACCATTTAGAGGATGTGCAATGGTTTCTGGAACTGGCCAATCACCAATACAACTGGTGCACACAATTTGGGGACATCTTGGAGAAAACACCGATGAATGGAGCTCAAAGAAACATTTTTGAATGGGTGAAAATGTTCAATTATTTTGATGACCATTTTTATGCATGGCTTGATCTTTCCTGTCAAACACAGGCACATTATTTATATAACACCATATGGGGCCTGATAGTCACATAATTGCACACGTAAGCGCGCAAACCAAAGGGCCCCAATGGTAAAAATTCAGTCTGAACAATTCCACAGTTACCTGAGTATAAATTAAGGCAAAATATCACAATGATGCTAGGCCCCTTGCGTTTATGCCGTAAAACATGAAAATGCTGCATTTTTGTGTTAACTGTGCATACAACTGGTATTATAAAGCCTTTAATAATGTATGGTACATAAGAGTCCTAGCCATGCATTTTTACATCTGGATATAAACTCTTTTTGTAGCTTTGTGTGCTAAAGCATAAAGGAAGGGTAAAAGGAAGTTATTTATCGTTATTATGCTGAGATTTTCCATTTCAGGTGCTCCAGGGTTCTATCACTCTTTCTATATTCAAGATGTCCCTTTCACAAATCTTAGGAAAGTGTAATAAAAATGACTCATCGAACCCCCTTGCTCTTCATGAAAATTTCCCAAGGATTGAGGTTGGAAAAGTGATCATGAGAATGCCTGACCTTGGAGAACCTACCCACTATATCCCGACCTTCTACCACATTTGTCGTTTGAAACCAGCTGCCATCCTCAAGTCGAATGCAGCAACCTTTGGCACATCTCTACTTTCTCACAGTGTTTGAGCATCTTCTGAATCGAGAACAAAGTTTTCCGAGTTTAGTCCGTGTTTCTAAAAAGCTGTCCAATGACTGCTGCTCTGGAGTAGCAGAGTCCAACCAAGTTGTACTGCAGATTGAACTTCAAGCTGCACTTCAAGTTATTACAAAGAGGATTGCAGTTATTGTGCAAACTTCAGAGATTTGCACCCTTACAGACAGTATTAATGATGTAAATCAACTGTTCAATAACAGTAATCTTCTTGGTCATGGAATGGTAGTAGCTCTTCATCTGCATAAGTGCTTAAAAAGCTCAAGAAAGTTTGTTGAACTAATGACTTCCAAGTATGATGCAAGATGCAATGCCATAACTTGCCTACAGTCCATCCATGATCGACTTAAGGTACCCATATACACGTAATGCTAGGTTTATTTGCGTATAACTGGAATCACACATTAACACCATGTTATTAACCTCATATACGGTTTGAGTAAGTGACAAGTACTAGTAAAAGCACTGTTACAAATTTAGTACAATACTTATTGTACAAGGATCTGGTGTAGAAGCTGAAAAGGCACAAGGTGTAGTAGCTAAGTGCATGATCAGGCTTCGAGAGTATACGAGCGTAAACAATGTTTTAACTAGTTTGTGGAATGGCTGAACTTTTGCGTATTCAGGTAGTAGTAGCTCTTTGCTTATGGCACATGAATACAGGTGTAGACTTAAAAAGTCGAGTACGGAAGTAGGACCAATTATGTGGACCATTTTACATGCAGAAATCGTATACTGTGAGAGACCCTGGCTTTCCGCGCCTTCTGTAGCTAGTGGAGATGGTGGTAGTTTATAGAGAGCTGCTACTTTTTAAGTGCTTACCCTTGTTATCCTGGTGTGAAAATTGAGAATGTTTTCCAACCACAACAAAATGTAGCACGGTTGTTTGCAATATGGAATTTGTCTTTGATACACCCACACATCACTGGACGAACGTAATTGATTTCCAGACACAAAAGGCAGGTGGAAAGGCACCAAAAGACCGTATATCCTTATGTATAAAAACATTTAGTAAATATGGTCTTTAATGTCTTTCCTAAAAATAAACGCCCATATTTCCTGGCATTTTGTCCAGCTCCCTTCCTTAAAGATGTTCTTTCCTGCGCTTAACTCTCATGAAAACTGGAATTTCCTTGCATACTGTAATCTTAAACAACACAAAAAGCAATAAGTGATACAAAAATGCATGAATTATGAGTGTTTGTTTTCTGGAATTGAGGTTGTAAATGGGAACTTCACTGTCAGATTCAAACATCGGTCCCTCTGAAGCAGGAGTTTTCACACCAAAGCTTCTGGAAATGAACATAATACAGACACACATATAGTGCCATGTTTCCACAGACACACAACACAACCCTTCTTTAAAAATGTACTCCTACCCACTATGGAACAAACCCAAGATATTCGAAGGGCAACTTTGGCGCCATACTGAACGCTCACTAAACCACAAAACCCAACGAACTTACGCCAGACTGACAGCCGAACGGCCACAAAGCCCGACAAACGTTACGTCAGACTGACAGCCGAATGGCCACAAAGCCCAACAAACGTTACGCCAGACTGACAGCCGAACGGCCACAAAGCCCGACAAACGTTACGTCAGACTGACAGCCGAATGACCACAAAGCCCGACAAACGTTATGCCAGACTGACAGCCGAACGGCCACAAAGCCCGACAAATGTTATGCCAGACTGACAGCCGAACATTGCACAAAGCCCGACAAACGTCACGCCAGACTAACAGCCAAACGGCCACAAAGCCCGACAAACGTCATGCCAGACTGACAGCTAAAGAGCAAAGCCCACAGCCTAATGTCAGACAGCTTCATGCACCAATATCAATGCATGGCCAGCAGCACATACCAGTGGCAAAGCCTTGTGGGGATGAATCTCATTAGTTCAAAACCACAAGTGCTGCGCTTATGTCAGCCTTTATAAACTCGTGATGCCTGAGAGAGAAGTTGTGGTATGCTCTGCTTATTTGGGCCAACAAGCGCCAACAGCTGTCCAGAGCTCCACATCTTTTTTCTCTTGGCATCACATGGTTTTTTCTACATGTGTATGCACTGGCAGGATATGGGTGCTTGCTGGCTTCATTGCAGCGGCCCAATCCACTATGCCAGTTTTTTGAATTCGGGTTTTGGCTTGGTGCTGACCAGCAGGAGTGGGGAGGGGCCTAGGCTCCAAACCACGAATGTCTGGGCATGGTCAGCAGCACATACCAGTGGCAAAGCCTTGTGGGGATGAATCTCATTAGTTCAAAACCACATGTGCTGCTGCTTATGTCAGCCTTTATAAACTCGTGATGCCAGAGAGAGAAGTTGTGGTATGCTCTGCCCGAAACAGCTGTCCAGAGCTGGGCATCTTTTTTTCTCTTGCCATCACATGGTTTTTTCTACATGTGCATGCACTGGCAGGATATGGGTGCGTAAAGTTTGTCGGGCTTTCAGCTGTCCAGCACACCCTAGAGGTAGACGAAATAGTATCCATCAGAGTACGCATAGCTAAAAGCTATCCTAGCACAAAGAGACAAAGTACAAACAAAGAAGGGCAAAGATCGGCGCTCATTTTTTCTCACCACCAGACAATGCTCGGCTGTATGCAGTCGGCCATAAGTGTCAGGGACGGGGTAAAAGAAGCTTTCCGGTGGCACCCCTTCGATATCTTCTCGAAGGAACAGAGAAATCAAAAGAAACCGCTCCACCAGAGATTTGAAAATGGCAGCTGCTTAATCGGTGCACGTGAGCATCACGAGCAGATCAGATCACGTCACGCGTCACTTAGTCAGCCAGTTCACTGATCCTCTCCTCCTTTCTCTCCTCCTCTGATCGCGCGGAAACCCACAGGCAGACCCAAGTTGCTTTTCACTCCTGCATATCTGCCGCAGCGTGCCTGCTTTGTGACAGAATCCTGTCGTACACCTACCGCTATATAAGAATTTGGCCTAAAAACCAACTCCGTTTGATGAGTTCTCGTCACGGGTAGAACGGTCATGAGTCCTTGTTTTGTGACAAGTGAGTGCTAAACGTAGGTGATAAGCATATTTAGCCTGGCTAACCTCGGACACTGGTAAACCCTGGTTTGTGCGTTGTGGCTTTCCTTGTCGTTCAGTGCGCATGAAACGCTCTGAAATGTGAAATGTACCGTGTTTCCCACGGAGGAAAGCTGGCCGATTGAAGTACACGGTATTTCCGTAACTTTCATGACTTCAGTATCGTTACGGAAATCTGTACCGTTCGCCCAGTACATTCTACTGGAAAGACCTATTGATATACAAGCAACTTTCATGAGTGAGATTTCTGTGTGACCTGCTCTAAGAAAGGGTGCAATTCCACGTACTATACACATAATATATAGCTGAGAACTAGAGCATTTTAATTAATGTGTGGCACATGAGAGAACTATGGTCCTGTCACGTTTGAACAAAGGGCAATCTATATACTTCTTGTGCAACTTGAAACATTCCCTTCTAATTGTACACAATTGGAACTTCACAATAGTCTATGCCGTGTGCGTGTGGCCCTAACTAAAAATCCTATCAATGGTTCTATGTACAATGCCATCTTATCTAATACTTAATTCAAAATGTCATTCATGAAGCAATTAGCAAAAGTGAATCATGCAATGACTGGGAAATATGGCATGAAAACCAAGGTATACTCACAATCTTATCTGTTTGTGCTCTTTAAAGGCATCAGAAGTTACAGTGGAGGGTGAGTTATTTGGGACCTGATATTACCTTCTGCCTAGTACACCTGCCATGTAAAACTCTCAACCAGGTAGCGACAAACCACAAATAAATCGACAGTTTGGTCCAGCCCTTTATTTAGTGGCACTTACCTGCGCATGTGTCATGTACGCACGTAAGCCCCGGCACCAAAACCTTTCTTGACTAGATTACATTAGAGGATTTGCACCTTTTTTAAGTAAAACAGTAAGTTCAGGCTACATAATATTATCAGTAATAATATTGGTTGGCGTTTGAGTTCAAAACAAAATCCCTGAATAAAGGTTGTGTGCACCACATCTATCTGTGTACTTGATTAAATTTTTTTCTTTTCAGGAAAAATCTGCCAGGCGTAACTTTCACCTGTTACCCTTTATGCTGCCAACTGAGGGGAGCAAACTTAGCATACTCTACCGGAGGACAAAAATGGCACTTTTGAGAATTCATGATGGAAAACCTAATGCAGAAAAGGAGCTTGAAAGTATAACCAAGGAACGGTTAGTTTAATTGTTAATGTTACTCAGCTGGTCATTATGTTTTTACTACAGCAAGGTACCCATTCATATGGCAGGTGCCGTTAATGACTGCAGTTTCAAGATGATGGTGTGGCTTACCATCTACTATGAGTTCTTTGATAAGAAGGTGACATTTAGACATTTTAAATCATGGCACAAAACTGTTATTTTTGCCTATGTTATTATTTTTATGCAGAGAGTATCTCCTACTCTTTGTAAAATAATTGGAGAAGACAGTTTCTGTCAGCTGGCCAATTTAAGAGTGCACGAAGTCAGATTGTTCAAGAGTTTCCTAGACACAAGCAACTTAATCTCTGAGCCTGAGGAACCAGACCCTCTTCGTCATGATGAAGAAGTTCTCGAACTACTCCCAAATGGTAGACACCGACGCAAAAGCAGAACAGCCACATCAAACATGGTAGACCCTCTTTACGAACTCTTTTTACCACCTCCATCAAGTCCCATAGGTAAGCAGGATATTCTATCATGTGCAGATTTAAACTTTTGTTTGCTTGTTGCCTATTTTAATAGCGTAGTACCAAATATTGGTTTGCCAATGATAAAACACTTGGTTCAATGATGTTTCCTTGCATAAGAGGCTGCTGACATGCATGCGAGAACAAAGGTGTCGTGCTTTAGTAACTAGCCCGAGGCCCTTTAGAAAGTGGACTCTCCTTATCTCTGGCAGTGTGTGTGACTCCACTAGCAGCACAGCAGGTGATATGCAAGTGTCACTGGCCACCAGGGTATATATCTGATCCCTCTGGCCATTATTGTATATAAATTTGATGTGTCGTTTAATGTTGTCACACTGAAATAATGCGGTAGCGTACATGCATCCCTGTTGACTACTGCCCACTATAAATGAAAAGCACTGAAGTGCAAACCCTCGGCGCATTATGCATGCGTGACACCGCTAATTGATGGGCTGGGCTATGAGTGTGCATTTACTCGTAGTCTCCACGCTAGTTGGTCGCGGAGAGCCTGACACGGGCTAAGATAGCATGTTCATACACGGCCTTCGTGTTTACTTCTTGTTCTTCTGCAAAGTACAAACAGCAAGCGGATCAGTCGAGGTAAGCTGGTGCAATTTTGCATATTGCCTTTTTCGACGCAGTCATTTCAGGAAAATCACCTTTTTATTTTTCAGGCTCGTGTAGTTCTGAACCCATTGGTATCGCTCATGGGCCGCCTCAAACCCTGTAGTGCGAGAATAGCCCGACAGACAGACAGACACACAGACAGACCAAGTACACTAACCTTCGCTGCACATGCGCACCGAGGGTTAATGAGAGAAAGTCCTCTATAGTAAAGGCTACCATTTGTTTCTGTAATGCACACTTGCTGCTCCTGTCAAGCCATAGTGTCCCACAACTCTTGTGCAAGCCAGTGGGTTCTTGCTTCTCAGGCTTACCTAATACAATAACTGTGAGCATGTCACACCACAAGCATAAATTAATCTGCTGAATTTTACTCCCTTGTCTCTCTAAATCTGTAGAATCATATGAATTTGGAAATAATATCTGCAATGTGTAAAATTTCCTCTCCAAGCAGTCATTTCCAATTCTCTTTTAGTGTACAAATATGAGTAGAAGTTAAGAAGTATGAGTTAGTAATAGCCACATGATCTTTCATAAATACCTGTTCTCATTGGCATGACACTCTGCAAATAGTGCAAAGCACACTACCAACTGAGCTACCAGGGCAGCTCATTGGGCATTCCAACACAATAAAACACAAAGGCAAGGCCTAGTGTGAGACATACTACTACCGTCATAATGAAAAGCACTGAAGTGCAAACCCTAGGCGGATTACGCATGTGTGGTACCGCTAATTGATGGGCTGGGCTATGAGTGTGCATTTACTCGTGGTCTCCACGCTAGTTGGTCGCGGAAAGTACTTAGCTACACTATATGATAGCATGGCGATACGGAAGGGCCTTCATGGCGACTTCTTGTGCCTCCACAAGGTATATACAATGATCGGTCGAGGTAAGCATGCATATTGACTTCTTCGCTTGTTTTCACGGCATATCTCTCAAACGCAGTCGTTTCAGGAAAATCACCTTTTTATTATTCAGGCTCGCGTAGTTCTTAACCCATTGGTATCGCTCATGGGTCGCCTCGAACCCTGTAGTGCGAGAATAGCAGACAGACACACACACAGACCAAGTACAGTAACCCTCGCTGCGCATGTGCGCCGAGGGTTAATTATGTTGCACTACCAGAGTCTGGCTTTTACTTTCTAACCAACACAGATCAGTCAGATGAAGACCTGAGATATGCTCTGGCCAACTTGGTGGCTGTAGTCCTTGGATGCCAGCCACAGTCTAATCATCTCTGGTTCCACCTCTTTCGCCAGCAACCTTTGTGGAACACCTATCTTACTGGATTTATGTATAGAAACAAAATAAAGGATGGCCTTCTCTATGACTGTGGTGTGGTGCTTACCCCTGAGGGGGAATTTGGCAGACCAGATTACCTTCCGCATGCAAATCGTGGGACATACACCCTTCATTCTCTCTACCTAATGCTGTTTGTTAATTTTGGGTCGTTTTGTATTGCAATGCTAACGCAACCCGATGCCCAGAAGAATATACACGGGTCAATAATATCTGATTGGCTATCGGTCCGTCACTACTGTGTATCACAACTGCGTAGCCTCTGGTTGCACATAAGAAACAATCTCGGTGTATCAGAGGAGGAGCGATCCTTTCTTATCATGAAATGTATGAAGAGATTCTACGAGGTAAATATCCCATTAGCAGTTATATTTGTTGCTATTGTGGAGATTTTTACAGGCATTCAGCAACGACAGAAGTTCAGAGCTCCCTGGAGGAGTGCTATCTACAATTGAGCAGCTTGACGCGTATGAAAAATTTTGGCACTTGAATATTTACACACCTTCACGTGAGGAGTTGATTGAACAGGTGGGTTAAGTTTTTTTTATACTTCTTTAGTTTAAATTCCCTTCTTTTACACAGTTTACTCAAATACAGCACACTGTTTTTACTGACATAAGGTAATATTTCTCGTATAACAGTGATATTTCCTGGGCATTTATGTGTTGATAAACTCGTTGAGGCCGAATTGAGTACTACTGCGCGTAATAGCGTCTGTATCTATGATACTATAAAGGCCCTGGTTTCGTAAATGTTTCTCACCACTGGGACTATTTTTACTTAACATTTTTATCTGTTGTTTACCATATAATTATTTTATAATTCGCTGTCTCCAAACTTTGCTACAGAATATCAGTCTGTATTATAATGTTCATTCGTCATTCGGTAATGAACCAGCAACATGCCCCTAGGCCTACTATACAACACTGCGTATTATGTTGTATTATGTTGTAAGACCCTCTCTCCCCAACTCTTTCTGGCTAACTGAGGTTCATACCACCCTATTATTGTGGTTAGGTTTTCGCAGGTTGAGTATGACAAAATATTCTTGTATACAGACTTAGGCATACTTAATCTGCAACATTTCTACATTGCTTGCTTACAATATGTTGATTACACATGATACATCCTTCTAGGAATTTAGAGTTGGAGTACCCCTGCTACCCAACTGAAAAGGACTTGACTCATAGTCTGCTTACCTTTCAAGATACTGGCACCGAAGATATTACCTTTATATCCCAGTTTACTCTGCAGTGGCAGAGACTACAGGCAGGTGGAAAACTCTTGCCTGACCTTCTGGAGTTCTATCAGTGGCTTCATAGCGAGCTTGCCCATGTTATAAGTTATCAGAGGGCCTGTGAAGTGACAATTGGTTACATCATTGAAAGAGTTACACGGAAGTACTCAACAGACATGAAAAATCATTGGAAGCAGCTTTTTGCCAGGGTTAAAGGTGAGTAATATTGCGAAAGACCTTATCAGTATAAGTGATTAATGTGCACAAGCAGGAGCAAGCCCAGTGTTGATTTTCGATTCCTAAAACAGTGCTACTGTCAGATTTATAGATTCTGGCTGTCACTCCTGCTTTCTAAATACATGCAGTTGTCAATTAAGCACACACTACCATGCATAACACTGTCTACCAACACTTTTCCAGAGGGCTACAACGAGTATGTTGAGCTGATTGGAAGATCAATAGGCATTGGTGCATGTGCAGCAGTGCAACGAGGAAATGCTATATACACTATTGAAGATCACACCCCACTTCTTCACTTCCTTTCAGGTGTGCAATACTTTTGGTAATTAGTCATTGACGTTTTGTGTAAAGATTAAGGCATTGCTACATTTGTAGGGCTTGTTTTATTGCTTGATTTTACTGGGAGCAGAGAAGATATGTAGTTAAATAACTTGTAGCATGCAAACATGAACAATTGAGTGTAGAGCAATTATTACCACAAGGATCTTATTACAGCTTGCTGCACGAATTCACAGTGCATGAGCAATCCAAATAAGCTAGAGGATGGCCAGCTATGCCAAAAGCCTGAAAAATAAATGGTATTTTCCTGAAATGACAGCATTCGAGAGACATGCCATGAAAGCAAACAAAAAAGCCAATTATGCATAATAGCACTGGCTTATATACCTCAGCCAGATGCGCTTGCTTTGTGTATCATTGAGGCCAAAAAGTCACAACGAAGGGCGTGTATCGACTCCCGCATGCTATCTACTAGTGTAGATATCCCATGCCAAACTCTCTGCGAGCTAGTAATGGGAGCTAACAAGTAAGTGCATACTCATAGCCTAGCCCATCAGTTACTGTTACCGCACATGTGCAGTGCGCTGAGGGTTTGCACTTCATTTTAGTGTATTTGATCTAAATGGCCCGAGACCCTGTTAAGCTGGTACTTTTGGCACTGAATTTTCTTATTGCTATTACACATTTTATGTCTATTCACATTGCTCAGATGGTGAGGATGAAGCAGGGAATGACTGGCTGTTTATCGTCATAGCTGACATTATTACTGCTCATAATGCAATGCTTGATCTCCCCAGGCAACTGGCCTCACAACCTTTTATCAGGCTGTTGCCCAACAAGCAGACGGAGGCATTTCCAAATGAAATCACTGCAACACACTCCATTGTCCCTCAGTCTGAGAAGTAGGTTCATTAATAATATTGATGGGAGGCACAAAACATGCCGCAGGAAGTTAAGGGAATGATACAGAGGTCTATTCTCTCACTTTGTAAAGTAGCTAACACTGCCAGTGCTTAGGCATGACATCGGGAGCAAGATGCGCGGATTAAAGAATGCTATCCACGCCAGTGCTTATGCACTTACATTACTCATGCAGTCACTATGAAACCAGAACAAAAATAATTTTCCTACTTGCAATGAGCTTCTGTAGCCAGTTCAGCCAGGGAACAAGCCACCCTGCCTCACTTCATGTGTTTACAAATGAAGAAACCACAACAACAGCAATCAGAGTACTAACTGTGACAGCATTCTGGTGTTCGTTTTGGAAGAAATGGTCATGCCTAAATCTGCTAGTAGGAGCCAACCCAATACATTGCTAGCTGTATTTGGTTAGCTGCTTAATGGTTGTCACTTCATATGCACACACAATGAAGCTACGTAGTAGGCAGCCTGGCTTGTGTCCTGTGCTGAACTTGCTCAGTATCACACGAGAAACCTGTTTGCCTAGTGCAAACACCTCTTATCTTCCAAGTAACTCATGTATGTGACCAGGTTCGTAAGTTCAGGGTATTATATTCAAGCAGAAACGAAGACAATGTATACTTCCACTAATTTCATTTTAGAGGTGTTTAGTGAGGAACTATTTCAACACGTCAAAAAACCATGCCTTATTGCTCACTTAGTGTGCAATTAACTGATTTTGGCACAGATAATACAATGAAAATGCATGCCCATATTCTACACATCAAAGGTGTACGCAAGAAACATTGTTGATATATCCAGCTGATTGGTCAAAACATGTGACCAAAAATAATCTAGGACACACTGAGCTGGCTTTGTATGTTTTTTAATGCAGTGCACTCGGATGTTCAATAACACTTTTTAGTGGTTAATGCACTGTGAGGCACAAGCTGAAGTCACGCCGTGTATTACTAAGAGCTTCAATTACAAAGACCCACTACATTAGTGGCGAGCGGGAGCAAGCTAACCTAATGGTCAGAATGGCGCGATTTTATATAACGATGTAGGACTGTACATCATCCAACTACGCATGTGTTTGGATTACATGCTTCTTTTTATCCAAAATCATTTTTACACGCTGCCTGATCCTCGATGCGCAATCTAGCCAGCCAGAGAACTCTCGTCTATTCGGCGCCATTCGCTGCGCTCTTCGATGCCTGGTCGTGGCTGTACGTTTCTCCAATCTTTGTTGATCCAAGATGCAAGTTGTAGCTAATAGGCTTGGATGACTCGTGCATATACAGTCATTGTGTGCTCGCTGCCCGCCAACAATTTCCTCCATTCGCCTACTAGTAATTACTTTTTTTCTTTGGTAGAAGTCCTTCTTCGGGTCAGAATTACAAAATTACTGTGTCTTGGACCACAAACTGTTCCTACTTGTACTTTATGCTGAATATATACGACTTTTTTTATTGCTAGTGGAAATGGTGTTTTATTATGCAAAACACTTTACTATTATTCTATTGCAGCCCTCATGGAATTACTGAACTCCTCCAGCTTATTCGTAGCCGACAGAGAAGCGTGTTTCATCCACAACCATCTTCCACGTCTGTACTTCAGGATGTCACAATGCCAAATTCATTTTCTTCCACTGTCCCCCTCTTCCACTTGGCTATGCTGCAGGAGGACATAATTACCCGTTTTATTGCTGGCAAACCCTTTATTCGTGACCTCTCTACTCTGCGCACACCATTTCAGTTTAAAATGTCAGCACCTAAGCATCAACTCTACAAAAGATCGTAAGATTGCTTTCCATTGTGTTGGATATTACCTTATGGCTTTTCTCCTTGCAGTGTTATCAGTTCAGATGAACTAGCCTACATGAAAACGAGTCTTGGAGAGCTCACAGAAAACATGGATGAAGGACTTCTTAAGCATCTGGAGTTGGTCTTTCATGCTGCTGGCTACCATACCATTCTTTACACCACCACTGGCCTCAAAACAGTTGCAGGTTATCTGGTGAAGGTAAGTATTTTTGTGAATGATTTTAACACAGCAAACCTTACCATAAATTAGTCAACATCTTTCCTTGTCTTGTATAGCCTGTAGGTGATGTTGGAGGAGCTTTCAACAATACATGGACATTTCGTGAATATCTACAGTCCTTGTATGATGGTCATCGCTCTGTCACAGAAGCCCTAAGTGAAATCGGCATGCGCCAGCTTACAGAAAGTCAGGTAACATGCCTATTGGATATACCACTGGCAAATCTCTACCACTGTCTGGAAGTTTTCTCCAACTGGATGGAAAAATGTGTGTATGACTTCTCTAGTTTGCCGTATACATTGAAATCACATCTGGAGCCAAGTGATTTATCTACTCTCAAAGCCTTACCACTAACTTGGAAAGGTAGGCACTGTTCAAGCCTGTCTCTGTGTATCAGACGCAAGTGGAAAACCAGGGGAGCATATGTGGCATGTCATTAAAAAAACAAAGGAAACAACCTATATAGGCAAGACTTTTTTTAACTCCATGAGCAACATTTTCTGGTGACCAAAAATCTCCATGATGCAGGAAACAACACACACCTACCCTTTGAAGCTGTAAATTTTCCCAGCTACAAAGTGGTACACGTACAAGCATTCTTACCACATTGTAGAGCCATAATTAACCCTCGGTGTGCATGCGGTTACAGTACTTGCTTCATAAGTCTCTATGTCTGTCTGTCTGCCATTTTTTACGACTGACACACATGCATTTTCAGGTAGCTACTACTCGCATGAGCCAGGGATTAGGATTAGTAGCTGAGCTTTCAATAGGGTCAGCATAAATGTGTTTTATTTTTTTCAGAACCAATGACTGAACTGCTGAACGAGGCCAATGCATTAAATGAGCAGTTGTCCCGCGCAGAGGTGTCGATAACAAACCAGAATACTGGCCAGAGTATCATTGCCTACCTCAAAGAACTGAATGTTATTTGTAATGATGATCAACTACCAAACTACATACCTAACACTATCCTCATTCGGCATTATGTTCAATTAAGAATTGTCCTCCGAGAGTAAGTTTACCAAGCATGAGTTTTTTTTAAAGTATGAAGTCACCAGCACATGAGTGCCTTGTTCTACACGAACGTAGCATCATAATACTTAGTTGGCCGTCAAGTGCCTAAAATTTAGACCATGAAAACAATGGAAGGAGTGCCTGTTAGTGAGTAAAAGAGTGAGTCATGTTTTGTGGGAGTGTCCAAAACCTGTTAGTGGCCGGTTTTTCATATTTTTGGGAAAGCACCATGCTTGATACTGTTTGGGACTGAAGGAAGGTTATGTTTGTTGTGTAAGACAAAGTTGCTCACAACACCGTTTATTTGTGCAACACGATGAATGGCCATTATAATTTGAATGTGCATGCAACTGTCTATGATTCTAGTAGTACGGCAACCCAATAACACAGATATACAAAGCCTTATTCTTTCTTGGAAGTTTATAATACAATTTTTAGCATTCTTACCGAAAGTAGTAAACCAATGCCTTTCTGTATACACTGCAGGATATTAAGGGAGGTGCAGCAGAAAATTGACCAGGAGGTTGAAGAGAACGGTACTTCTGAGTGGGATTCTCAGCAGTGGGACGACAGAGTAGAAGATATATGGGAGAAGCATTTACCCAAATTTAGGGGATTGCAGTACACTGAGGACGGACCTTTTCTCTACGATGCTGCTAAAGGCCGCTATCAGTATGAAATTGAAAGTGAAGAAGATGAATTAATCGATTCAAAGGAAATGGGTGACATTGAAGAAGAGGAGGGAGGGGTTGGAGGAGCGAATGGAAATCAGATGAGAAGCAGGATTGAACTGAAGGAGGGAGAAACCTGTGAAAGTGTGGTCGTAGGAGGGGGTGAGGGTGAAACAGAAAGTGTGAATGGAAGTCAGAAGGAGAATGAGAAAGGTGAGAAAAATGATGGTATGCCCAGCCTCTGCCATAACATGACATTACGAAGTGATTGTAGAATGGTGTATATACCCTAAAAGCATAAGTATTGGATTTGGCAGTTTGCTAATCTTTGTGGTCATCATAGCATAGCCAAAATATTGGCTTTTGAGAACTATTCGTTTTGACAATAAGTCCAACATCAACAGTTTATTGTAAACACATGCCTGGAAAGTACCTGTGTTTCTCAAGTCATCCTTGTTAACCCTTTCCGTACACAGAGTTACACTACTCCGCCTGTTTGTCTACTATTAACACAAAAGAGTGTTACCAACAGCATCGAAGCTAAGTAGAATCTGCTGCATTTCAGTGAAGCAAAAGTTAAAACACTGCTGAGTAATCAACCAGCTTTTACCAACCAAGCACACTGGAGGCTAATAAAAGTACCCAGTCTAGCATTGCCTCAAAAGCTACCGTTTAAGCCACTCCCCATCAATTAGTGGTAGTGGATTTAAGTGTTGCACAGCATCATCTCTTCATATGGCATTTGTTGCATGAATGCAAGACTCACACTTTGCTTTTGTACTAGTGTATTTTTCCCTATACATATTTTCAGCATTTTAGTCATTGCAGCTGCTACATACAACACTCAGTCATTAGCTACATATCAGAACCCTATTAGGAATCAAGCAGTAACAGGTTCTCCCCGGAAGAAGAACCATGAGCATGTGCATTACTTGGAAGCAGTGCTTGGGTCACTATTATTTACGGCTACGAAATTGAGCAATTTTGGTTCTTCACGCTATTAGCGGGTATTTCCTTACGCGATTTGTACATAATGAACTTCAGAACAGATTTTCAATTTTATTATATCACTATCCATGCAACAGTGTCTGTAGCTCCAACTTTTGTGTTTCCAGTCACAGAATTTACATAGTTTATGAGTCAAAAAACGTTTCCATTATCCGTTCCAGAGAACATTAATTACCGTTCGTTTCGTTTGCCATTTTCGGCGGTGGTACCATTCGGTTTTGCCTAGTGAATTGTTCCATTTCTTTTCGTTTCGTTTACCCGCCTTGACTGTGCCAGCAGAGATCGTCGAACGCGCAAGCGATTAGCGATCTGGGGGCTACGCCCACTTTTGAAAAACGCGTCCCAAGGCTTCTCCTTGTCGTGAGGAGGCGGCCTAGATCACAACAGCACGTCTGGGGAGCGGAAGGTGCTCCAGTGAGTCTGGCTCTCTTCGGCGAAAAACGCGGCACTTGGACTTCGCGCAGTACTCCGCGCACAGTACCGAACGAAACGAAACTGGAACAAAATGGAACGGAACCGTACAAGAACGAAACGAAACGTTATAGAACGGCGTTGCACACGGCTTCCGTTCGGTTTTTGGCTGAATATGACAAAAGCAAAGGGATTGTATTGAACGATAATGGAACGTTTTTCGATGCATACTGTAGGGACTGCTGCGCAAATTTTTGGGCAGACCTCACTTTTGTTCATCCGTCGCATTACCAGCATAATTTATCGTTGACCTCTAATACAGCTCACTGACAGTAACCGACGAATAAAGGAAGAGAAAGCTAGATAGCTTGCCGTTTGATTACTCGTATGTTTTCACACTGATTTTTACTAATTCGCAAAGTTAGCACAGTTATTATAAGGTACTCAGGAATGCCATCAAAAGCTGCTCCTTTTCTTATCCTACTGAACTGTGTAAATGTAATGTAAAGTGTTATCATGAAGAAAACAAAGGCACTATTATTGCAAAAATCCTTTTTGCAGTTCGCGTCTATACACATGCTCATGTGCCGCCATATATAATGCACAAGCACAGAAGTACTGTTATGTTATTGACCATGGTGCTTCCCATTCTTTTGTCCTCTCGATACTTTAGTAGGTTGCAATTAGATGTCACTGGATCCCATTCTAACCCTTTGTGTAACTTCTGATGATGCAAGGCCACATACTATTTTCTTTTTCACTTGGTTTTCAAACTTTACCCATTGCATGCAGTATTAATAGTACTGAGACTCTTGGGTGTCACTTCTTTGTCACCTACTGCACGTTGTAGCAGAAGGCATGGTAACAGAGTGACACATGGACACAGACTTAAAAGTACTGTAACTCTACTCGCATTCGAAGTAACTGATACTATAGCTTTTAATGCATCCACTGAAGTGCGTAGTAAGAAACATTTGTGTCAACACACTACGTGTGTGCATTTTGGGAAGCATTGCATATATGTAAAGCATCATGGGAATTCCCTTAATTATGTTTCACAAGCAGGTCAGCAAATGGCTGCTAAAGCCACACCAGAACAAGTTGCAGAATTTATTACAACCATTGGTTTCGGGCAGTACGCGAAGTTTTTCCTTGATGATGAAATGGATGGGGAGATGATGCTGGATGCTAAAGATAGTGATTTGCCTGACCAGGTTGACTCCAGACTGCACCAAGTGAAAATCATTGCACTTTTCAGAAGTACATTTACTGGAACCAAGAAGACAAGGTTTGTGATTAGTAAAGGAAGGGGTAGCTGGTTACTTGTCACTAATAATATATCTCTGAGGTGTGAAAATCATGACACATACATATAAACACTCTTCCTCTGATGTATCAACTACTGCTATGAGCATTCACACAAGTGTTGTAATCGCAAGTATGAAATGTGTAAGATTGATGTTATAGACCAAAAAACTTATGAAGTGTTTATTCTCTAGCTAAAAGTACATGGATGAACTAGAGCTACTGTCCTACACACTGAAACAAGGGGTCATCGTGAAATCGCGTATGAGCGAATTCTCGCCTGGAAAACTGAGGGCACGTAGGAACTCGTGGGGCATATGTATAGCTAGATATGGGCCTGTAGACTACTGCTGGAGATTTTTTAAAGCCTAGGGAGTCATTTTCGCCAAGTTTTGAGGTGTTTTGTACTCGGATCACGCCAGATTTGACCCGTGCCATCCCTATATAGAGCATCTACTCGAAATATTGATGATGAGTCCCAAGAAGATTTTCACATTAACTTGTTCATTTATATCACATCATTACCGATTCACTCAATCTTATGAAATACCCCAATGCTTCACAAGGGAGCAATAATTATAGTTCCCAAAAGGAAAAAGTTAGCTATTTGGGTAGATGTGTACTCTACATAAAGATGGGGATTCATAACATTTTGAACCCAGGCCTTCCCCAATCACACTCTATTATGGTACGCATGGAATAATAATATTGTGAATGGGCGATCTCCGCGAGAAACATTCAACGTTCTGCACATTGATCGGCCATGCTATTATTAAACACAATGATGTATACCTACTATAGTGTAACGGAAAATCCTGTGTTTTGAGGGTAGGGGGTTTAATTGCCAGGGTAAACAGGGTAAACTTACTAATATCAGATGTGAACTAGCTAAAGCGACAAATTGACTACCTCTGAGACCTTTGTCATTTAGGGGTAATTAATACCAGCTCTTCAGGTGCTTCATATTAGACTACAAAATCTGGGGCTGGTCTGTTATTTTTAGTTTGTCATGCCATACCAGCATGACAAACAATTGGGGGTGTAGGTTATGTTATGGAACAAATACTATGGTTATTCAGGGAAAAACAGTGCATCTAGTTGTGATTGGTCATGTTTGTAAAAGTTGGGAGTTACAAACTTTCAAGGGGGAATAAGCACTTAATAGTAATGTAATGTTGGATGCTAAGTAAAAGAGTGTTGAAATTGTAGCAGTGTGGTTTGCCAGGCTTAACCCACCTAGTAATCACTTTGACGTGTCACAATGCGAATGTATTCATTCTTATACCATTACACTGCAGCTATTATGTTTGATTATATATTATAGGATTGCTTGTTGTGTATAACCGGTCAATCTTTGCACACAGCCTGTCAGTTGATGACGTTGGGTGTTTTCTGAAAGCAGAGAAGTTGGATAAGTTTGTAGATATTTTTAAAGATAATGCGATAGATGGTGACATCTTGGAAGCTATACTCGAGAGAAGCGATGTAGTCGACGGCACTGGTGGGATGACCAGTAGCTGATCTCATCCTAAAGGATGATCTTGGGATACAAAAAGGACCACACCGGCTGAAGATCAAGACCAAGTTTAAAAGATTTCGTGAATCTCTTGCTGACATTCCTAACACAACGTAACATAGCTACCAGTACAACGTAAATACATTAACTTTGCTGAGAGAATAATAGTTAAGCTAATATGCATAAATTACAACCTTTATATATAGTTTTCTAATTTTGTAGCTACATTTCCTATAATTATATTTCCTATACAATCTCACTTATTATGTGACCACACTGTGCTAAACAGAATGGTGTTTAAAGAGTTGAGTCCAAGCGCGGCGTTTGCATGATGTAACACTGTCCAACCTAAAGTAGTAGGAAGATTTTTACCGTGTGAAACAAAACAATAACAAAATGCCACCTCTTGTCCAGGAAGAACAAACTGCATTCACTAAGTTTATAACTGTTACATGCATACCATGCTTCGACAGTCAGAAGATAGGGTTGTGGTGCGGAAGCCACATGGAGTTCACTTACACAATTCCAGAGAGATGATTGTCAGTGGGTGCATGGGGAGAAGCCTACAAATTATAGCCGTAGACAAATATGTTTTATGTTAGCAGTAAAAATCACTTCAAAACTTCACCCACCAGCGATGGCAAACTGAAGGCATGTGCTGGCGATTATTACCAAAGCTCATGTTGAATGGGCCTGCCAAGGGCATGACATGTATACAGACAGAGTGAGGGACGAATACAATAGTTAAAAAAAACACGTAAGAAGCATAAAAACGACTGAAGATGTGGGGTCCATGGTAGTCAAAGAGTCAAGTAGAGCGCACCAGGAGTTGTCCTTTTTGTGTGGTTGGTGATGATATGTTCGGCAGGGTTGGTTGTCCAGATGAAATGATAGCACACACAGACGGACATTTGCCGGTGAATGATCAGGTAGATAATCACCTCACACGGTTGATAACTTACGGTGCGGATTCACGTGATGGGATCCAGACTTTCACACTCAGTAGTGATCTTGTGTACGAACTGATATTTGGAGACATTGAATTTTTTGATAGTTTATCAGAGAGTCGGTAGACTCTCTATATAGGGACGACACGGGTGAAATCTCACGTGATCCGCGAACAAAACGACTACTAAAACTCGGTGAGAATCACTCCCTAGGCCTTCAAAACATACTAGCAATAGTCTACGGGCCCATATCTACCTATACATGTCCCCAAGACCTCATACGCACCTTCAGTCGTCCACGCGAGAATTCGCTCATACGCGATTTCACGATTTTCGTGTCATCATCATATATCTTCATCTTCTCTTCTTTCTTCTTCTTGTCTTCAGACCCGCTAGCTCCTTACCGGAAGCACTTGAAGCGTTGATTTTTTCACAGACGTCCTCGAATTTGCCGGAGGTGTGCATGCATATCAAGCGATCGTTTCTTTCTTGCCGCAAGTCACTACGGTAGATCGTTGAGCTCTTCCTCGGTAGTCACTGCACAACGCCATTTGTTGCTAACTCAGCATCAGTGAGCCGCTTCCTTTTTGGTGCTTCAGGTCATCCCTATATCCTACTTCATTTGTTTGACAGAAAGGATTTCCACTTGTATATATAGCAGCAGTAATTGGTCTTCCTTGTTAATGGTCTTTATGATGTCCAGCCCATCTGCAGGCTCGCTGGCACTCAGTTTCTCCGACGTAAAATTCGACTTGTACCTCTCCTTCAGTTCCCTGCATTCCCTCACTAGACTGAGTGCCTCCACGTCTACCATATCTGACAGAGTGTGATGACAGATGCTTTCCTCATTAATGAAAAAGCACTTGAAAGTGCATAACCCTCGCCACTTTATTCTTTATTTCAGCAGCTAATGGCTACTAGCCACACTACCTTAGTCTTTTGCACATGCGTGTTTAATACTAGTTACTACTACAGCAAAGGGAAAAGCACTTGACAGTACATAACCCTCACCACTTTATTCTTTATTTCAGCTACTGGATACACTACATAAGTGACTCCTTCACTGAACGGATTCACTGGGCGTGTGCTGCTCTCACTTCACCGGCAATCTCGATCCTACTGAACTGTACAATCAATACAGGCAGACCAGCAAATCTTCTCCACACGCGCAAAGCATCTACCATCTAAGTAGAGCGACCGTTCTATTTGACTCACACTCACCTCGACAGCTGCCCGTTTCACCTGGCCTTCTCCGCTCCAGGATCTATGCATGCCTCCTACTTGATAATATGTCCACGTTTCACGCTCAGGGAACGTTGGCCGCGGTTACGAGCAAAGAGAAAAACGGTGGACAGACGGACGGACGGACACACGCACACGCACACACACACACACAGCTAGCTAGCTAGACTAGACAGCAATAACCCTCGCTGCGCATGCGCGCAGGCGAGGGTTAGTTATGACTAGACTCTCAGCAGGAACCTTAGTTTTCTGATAGTGCAAACTGAGTGGAGTGAGTTCCAGCCAAGTGCTATGATCGCCGCTGTGTTGGAGTACCCACTTACTTTGGCAGTTTCAGGATTCTTTTTGCGATCTCTCCTTGGAAACGTTCCGAGCATTCGGATGGATTCAGGTGACAGAATCCAGTTTTCCATTGCATAGAGAATGATTGGTAGAACACACGTTTCCACTATAGAGCAACATGATACAGGATAATATTGTGTGAGTGATGTACTGAAGGTCTGATAGGAAGCACTAACAGCCTGCACAAAACAAGACACGAACTACGGTAGAGTGAAAATTAAAGGAGATTGGTTTAGAAGAACAGGTGGAGGAGGGACATACAAAGTGATAAGTGCAGGGGTATGTCTGGGTTGAAAGTAGAGTAAAGTGGTTCCATAGATACATGAGTAATTTCCTTTTGATTGATTTTAACGAGCACTGAATGTTGATAATGGGTAAAGAGTTCCAAAGACGAGGTAGACGATGAAAGTAGAAATGTCTTTCTTTAGTGGTTTAGATGGTACACGTACGGTTTAAAGCAGCTGGAGGATCTCGTCAAAGTAAGCAAAATTAATCGCTTCACCATTCACGGGAAAGCTACATTCGCCAACCTCGATGCTTACTTGTTCTGATAGACGATTTCTTGAAAGCCACGATCTCGCACTTGAAGTGTTCAATTTCGGGAAGTTTCTTCCGTGAATTTTCTTGATGGTAGATAGAGATCTGTGCTTCAAGTGTTGTAGTAGAGGCTAATGTGCTAATGTCATCCGCGTGCAAAAAGCCACCCACATATACATGTTGTTGACTAATGCACCAATGGAGAGTGACTTAAACCAGTAACAACAGCACTGGTGACAGAATGGACCCCTGTCGGACCCAGAGCAAATGGAGAGGGACGCTTGTGGAACGACATGTACGCTTTACGTTTCCATGTATGCATGGGCAGTGACGGCCTGGTGCATGGATCATAATATCTTGAGGGAGACACATCCAGGTTTAGTAGAATTATTATGCTGACCATCTTGCACAGACTTGCTCGCCGCCTCCACAGGGCTGGGCATCTGTCCCGGAGAAAAGTCCCGGATATTCTTGAATGGGAATGGCAATCTCTTCTATGCTGCCGTAAGAGCCAGACCCAATAGTCCTGCCCATAATTATTGCTTGAGCAGGGGAGAGGACGAAGGGAAGGAGGTCGGAATGGTTGAGGAGGAAAGACTGGGCAGCCATTGCCACAGCTCTGTTAGAATGTGTGTTGCGAAAAGAGCGGAGATCCTTTGACCGCGCAGGCACATGAACACTTGTTATACCACTGCACACACATAAAAGAGAGAATGGTGTTCGAAAAAACAAAAGTGTGTGTGTGTGTGTGTTTCAGGTGAGCACAAATGGTGTATTCAGCAACTCTGCAACTGTAGCTCTCTGTGATGGCTCCCTGCAATACAATGTGTATTATACATGAACAGACAGGGAGCTTTTGACTGTGATAAGTGTACATTTTCGGGTTACTATAACTAATGTTTGAAACATAACCAACATAGTGGAATCCACCCCTTAAGCCAGTAACAGCAAACAAACAAACCAGGGACATTAAACGTGTGTGTGTGTCTTACCAATTGATGCAGAGTTTGAGAAACATCTGGACCTCATCTGAGAAGCCTGGTCCATGGATGAGCTTCTCGAGGGACAGCGATTGCTGCCCCAGTCCAAATATGACCGCCATCTTCTCAGTATGTTCAGCAAATGGCCTCTTCCCAGTCAGCATCTCAACACTGTTGCCCCCACACTCCTGTGCGGTGAAATGTATAGACACCACAGTATTATCTTGCGCAATTTTCAAATGAGAATTTCATGGTTTGAGGCTCCTGTTGTTGAAATTGAAGGGAAGGGAATTTTGTACAGCGGGAAAGCAAGTGGCCGAATCAGTTCATTGTCAACCCCATGCACATCACAGAGTGACCATAATAAGTAAATGGCGAAAAAATATATAGCTAGTAAACAAGTGGAAAAATCATTTCTTCAAGATGAAGGGGGATATAGGGATGGCTCAAAACATGAAAAAGTAAAGAACAAGGGGTCATTACACATTGTTGACACCATCCCTATATCTTTGTTGAACTGATTAAAGGCAAAATATGATCAGACAAAAACATAGGGATGGTGTCATGTAGCTTCGGGTGTGTTAGCTGTGTAATGACCCCTTGTTCTTTACTTTTTCATGTTTTGAGCCATCCCTATATCCTCCTTCATTTTGAAGAAATGATTTTTCTACTTGTAGAGATATACCTACGTACCAGACATCAGATTTCTCTGAGGGTGTGGGACTCTGGTTGTCTTTGGGGATCAGCTCAGGGGCCATCCACCAGGCAGTCCCTGTCATTTTAGCTCCACTATCAACCTGCATGCCAGTATACAGAGGTATATGCAGTGTATGCAGACCTATGCCCAGCATATGGCCTATGTAAACAACGTGAAAATGATTTAACACCACAACCAGGAAACTGAACATCCTAATAAGGAACAAGTCACATTCTAGAGGAGCTGTCATAACATGTTACATACAAGTGAATGTCAAGAAAATGGGTGCGGCCACACAAGTACTAATGTATACCTTGCTTTTCTTGAATTTGACGCAGCCAAAATCAGCGAGTTTGATGTCCCCACTCCCGTCCAGCAGTATATTGCTACACTTGATGTCGCGGTGGATGATGTTTCTCTGGTGGAGGTAGAGGAGGCCGTCCAGTAGCTGGCCAGTGAACCGCTTGGCCTTCAGCTCGTCCAGCTTCCCGTCTCTCTTGATGACATCAGACAGTGACCCCTAGTGTGTCAGGTACCGTGGATACTCAAGACCTAGTCTCTTACCCAGGCCCCAACACCCTCTAGAGGAAGAGGGTCATTTGAGTGTTTTCTTGGTTGTCATCCTTGTGACTACAATGGAGTCTCATTATAAAGAACATACTTAGTACGAAATTCTACAAACTCACCCTCGGAGCCTAGCCCTATAGAACACCGTACATTTTGCCCACACTTATGACAAATTCCCCCCTTACTGTGAACAAATTGTTTAGGTCCCCAGCAATTCATTATAACGAGATTCCACTGTGTTATACATAGCCATTAGATTTACTCGTCATGGGTAACATAGAATGCACGTAGCCTCGTTTCGTTTGAGTCTCAAGACTACTGAGCGATTTAAATATCTGGTTGTGCTGACTTGACAGTCTCACTTTGAGTCAACGAATCAGATTGCAGTATTGCCACCAGTCAATATCATTTGATATTGTGCAATCGTTTTGTAAGGAAAATTCTCCGAACTCCGTTGGCCATTACCAAAAAAGGACACATGCACTCGACAATGATTGGTCCAGTCACCAGATCATTTCATACTGAGGGCAGGGTCTGGGTACGAGTTAAGTACTCATAGCACGACGAACCTCTGACATGTACTCCATGATGAGGTAGAAGTGGACGCCAGATTTGACTGTCTCAAATGCCCTGTCAATGTACCGCACAACTCGAGGATGCCTGCACTCTTGCAGTGCCTTCATCTCCTTGAAGAAAGCACTCACAATCTAAAACGCACGTAGTGACAGATTATCAAGTGTAAACTGTGCAGCTTGACTATATCTTTTTACTGAATATTTTACCTGTTCCTGTTTGTCAATGAGGTCAGAGTCCCTCATGGTGATCCGTTTGGCGGCAAAGCGGTCAGGGCACCCTCTCCTTTCAGCTGCAAACACCTAAACAAGCACCACGAGTGGCCAGCGTATGTGTGAAGGTATAGAGTGTGTCTCACTTCTCCAAATCCTCCAGAGCCCAGCTTCTGCTTCCAGATCCACTCTCCAGTCTCACTTCCTGTCAAGGAAATGAAAATTCAATTGCCGTATTTTACTGACTGTAACTCTACCTTGGGAATGTGATGTAGTTCCACCAGGACTATCAGTCGTGTTCTGAATAAAGTGAGTTAAATGTCTATTAAAGTCACTCTTGAAAGAGTAATGCAAATCCCCGAAAAAGGACCCTCTGAATAAAGGACACCTCTCTATTAATGATACTTCTTCCCCACAGTAACATAATCCTCTGACCTCTGAGTATGGGTGCATCGAAGAAGGTTAAGCAACAAAAAGCACTATAAGTGCAAACCCTCGGCAAACTGCACATGTGCGATACTGCTAATTGATGGGCTTGGCTATTAGTAGTATTCGTTTACTCATGGTCTCCCGCTAGTAGCGCGCGGAGAGTCTGACACAGGCTAGCTACAGTAGTAGATAGCATGCGGGAGTCAATACATGCCGTTCGTTGTGACTTTCTGAGCCCCCAAGCTGCACAGAGTGAACGGATCAGGTCGCAGTAAGCCCAGTGCGATTATGCATATTGGCTTTTTCGCTTGTTTTCACGGCATATCCCTCGAACGCAGTCGTGTAAGGAAAATTGCCCTTTTTTAGTCTTCAGGCTCGCGTACAGTTGTGAAGCAGCTGGTATCGCTAATAGGCTGGCCGCCTCATAAGCGTCGACACACAGACACACAGACAGAATGAAAAGCAAACCCTCGGCGAACTGCGCATGCGCGATACTGCTAATAGGGCTATTAGTAGTATTCATTTACTCGTGGTCTCCCGCTAGTAGCGCGCGGAGAGTCTGACAGGGGCTAGCTACGGTAGTAGATAGCATGCGGGAGTCGATACATGCCGTTCGTTGTGACTTTCTGAGCCCCCAAGCTGCACAGAGCGAACGGATCAGGTCGCAGTAAGCCCAGTGCGATTATGCATATTGGCTTTTTCGCTTGTTTTCACGGCATATCTCTCGAACACAGTCGTTCCAGGAAAAACGCCCTTTTGTTTTTCAGGCTCGCGTAGTTCTGAAGCTGTTGGTATCGCTAATTGCCCGCCTTGTAGCCTGTAGTGCCAGAATAAGCGTCGACACACAGACAGACAGACACACAGACAGACAGACAGACAAAACAACTACTGTAACCCTCGCTACGCATGTGCACCGAGGGTTAATGATTCCTAGCGCATACAGCCTATACCCTTGGAGATGTCCCCAATGTTTCCCTTGTTCAGTACATAGTACACACCATCTCCCTGTAGTCCTGGATTCCCTTCCTCACGGTAGCCAAGTCAGCCCTCACTTCCCTCAGCTCTCTCTCATACTGCTCCTGACGAGTCCTCCACTGCGACGTCTGCTCCTCCAGGCTCTCTCGCAGCTCGGCCTTCTCCCTCTCTGAGGTGGCAGCCCTCCTCTCCAGGGTCTCGGCTACCTCCCTGAACCTCCCCTCTCCTCCCTGTTCCTGGCCCTCTCCTCGCTCATCTGGTTAGCCAGATTAGAGTTGTCCTCTCGCAGCATCGCCGCTTCATCCAGCGCCTGGGTTCATAGTATATATCACTAGCAAGTAAAGCAAGGGAGACATTGGTGAACAAACCTCCTTCAGCTTTTGTTTCGTGTCCTCCAGCTACACAAAATTATTATATAACCGGAGAATAGCACAATAATAACCGAAGAGGAAGGTAGTATATATTAAACCAACAAACCTCTTTCTTGAGAGCACCGACAGTTGATTTCAGTTGTGCGTTATCCTCTTCAAGCTACAAAGTAAGATATAAGAGTGTGTAAACACACGTGAGAACTGACAGAAAGCATAGTAAAGGCGTAGGCGTTACCTGTTTCATCTTTGCATCCAGCTCATCAGTTTTCTGTTTACTGTACAAGCTCTGCACAGAACAGATGTATAGGAGCAAGCCTTATATTACAGGGCACAAAACAGTGTAATTACATCTCTTCGATGGGTAGACTTCACTTCATCTAGACCAGACTCTATCCTCTTCATGTTCTAAAACAAAGTCGAAGCAAAGAAAAGGCCAAAACACTTTAAAACGACGTAACATCACACAACCTCCCACAGCTCCTCAAGATGTGACTGCATTCTTTCCATCTTCCGTTCCCCGCTAACCATTTCCTACGACAAAAGACAAGACCTGTAAAATTATACACGGTTGTATTAGCTTACATGTGCTCTGTGCCCCTCATCAAAAGCTTTCTGAAACCAATCAGAACACGTGTACTATCGTTAGATAGGGTAGAGAAAGTGAACTCACCACTGCCGTCACCATCTGAGGAGCGGGCAAATGAACTGATTGCAGTGGTGGTAGTTTCGACTGCGTCTCCCAACCACGACGACTCTTCCATGTGCACCTGAGCCTCTGCAGACTTGGTGTCCCCCTCGGCCTTGGCCGATGCGGGCTCCAATGGATGGACCATCTTCTTTGCCAGTGTGGCCGACTCCTCCAGGGGAGCTTGTAGGGATACTGCGGGTGGTAGTTCGACTGGCGTTCCCAACATCTGACTCGCTCATTAGTCGCTTGGTGCTCTGGGAAATTAGCGAGATGAAAGGTATTGTAAAGTGGGTGCGTATACTTACAGTTGTGGGTACCACAGTCATCCCGGCAAAGGTCTCTGATAGCTTCATCTCCCCCTTTTCTGTTAGAAAGTGTGTCTGTACAACAAACGTGCAGCATTCCGGGAAAGTCCCTTCGGATGAGGTAAACAATGATACCTGTGTAGGTGGTGAGGGAACTACGACAGAATCAGCATAGCTAGGCTTCTTTGGGATCATCACATCTCTCTGCAGAGTTGCTCCTAGACACACACACACACATTATAAAGTCAGTGATGCGTGTGTGTGATTTGTATAACAGCAACTCAATATTGCATGTTTACTTTCAGTCAGTTGGAAAACTTTGACATCTACACAATGATTATACTGTATGTAGCTAAGGAGTATATACGAGGGTAACAAAGAGATGCTGTGTCCCTTTTTAGGAGAAAATAATCACTGAGATTTGGGTTACTACTTTACATACACAAAAGAACACTTGTGGCTCTATACCTGAATCGTTCAACTCCCTGGCCATGATCTCCAGCGACTGCGTGTCATCGGCGGCGTAAAGAGCCCTCAACGCCCCATCAAGCGTGGCTCCCTCCCCGCGCAGCTCCACCCAGGCCAACAGAACGTAGTCGATCTGCTTCTCCCGGTCTCCCTCCGCCGCCGACATTAGGTCTTCGACTCTCGCAGAAGACAATCCGAGGCATTCTCCGAACTTGGCCAGCTCGCACTGAAGCGCGGCCTTCAGGAGAGAGCGAAACTTCTTGCTCGCCGGGTCGAAGATAAACTTCTGGCCTTCACCCGCACGCGTGCCCACCCGTTGTCCCAACAGCATGGGCGACAAGGATGCTACGAGCTGATCGAACGGGGGCTTATCTTGGCTACCACAGGCCATTCTCTCATTGGCAGAACAGAGAAAGGAAGACTGGTATATATACTGCACCACTAGACACGAGAAATCTCCCTCCGTTTCCTTATTTAGAGCATCGCGTAACGTCACGTCACCGACCAGAGATCGCTCCGGCCGTCCGTCCCCCTGCTGCTTGCGCTCATTGTCCCAGATCCATGGTTGTT